TATTTGAAAAAAAAAATTGGGACACGAATGACTTTTTTTTGCACATAAATAAAAACAGTGGGAAAATACCTTTCTACCGAGATCCCATAGGTCTAAATCAGAATAGTTTTGTCCCAGTTGTTTAAGCTTTTCGTAAATCAATCTTTGAAAAAAGTAAAAAACAGCATCAAAAATCTCATTATTACGATTCCGTTGAAAAGGTTTTTAAATATTTTTATGCAGATTTTTTTAAACCTAATCTGTTTTGCCATCTGAGGGACTTTTTTCAAAAAGTTCTTTAAGAAACTATTTTTATTCTTAAAAAACTCCATTTTTGGAGGTATTTTCAAATCGGTCCGCTCGCTTAAATCTTAATATTTTTCCGAAATATTTTGGTAGACTCCTTAAAATATAATAAATTTTGTAATTCCGGCGGAAAAACCGCAACTTTTTTTGGTGATGCAGTCTAATGAATACATGAAAATAAGTCGAATCCGCTGTTCTAGTAACACTGTTCATTGATATGCTGACGAAAATATCCCAAAAACAACCGAAAAATTATTTATGCAACCTTCGAGAAATTTATAGTTCTCAAGTTGTTATCCAACACCATTGTCTGGCTCCTCTCTTACCCTGGAGAAATTGTTAGTTCTCAAGTTAATATCTAACATAATTTTTTCAACTCATCTCTGATTTGTAGAATTTTTTAATGGAAAACAATAACAACGGTTCGCGTGGCCAACTCAGACTCAGTGGGTAGACCACTGGCTTTGTAATCCGAAGTCGCTGATTTATAGCCCAGTGACCGCGGTGAAAAAGTCTGATAAGATGTGGTGATCTCAGAAATAGCGGCTATAGCTTCTACAATGTGTAAATTGTTGTTGTGTTTGCACAACATTTTTTCATTAGAAACGGCCTCAAGCTCAGTGAAATTGTTGAATATAATTGTTATAAGCTCATAAAAAAAAAATAATAATAATTATTATTTAACTATTACAAAAGGAGTAAAAAAACAAAATGTTCATTAAACTATATGGCTTCTATGTGGCCGAGCTGTTATACGGCGCAGAAGTTTAGACAATGACCACATTTGATGAGGCGGCTCTTGAGTATTCGAGCGAAAGATCTTACGGAAGATTTACAGGCTTCTACGCGTGGGCGACGGGGATTACCGTAGACGATGGAACGATAAGCTGTATTAGATTTACAACGAAATATACATAGTGCAGCGAATGAAAATACAACGACTCCGCTGGCTTAGATATGTCGTTCCAATAGGAACCGAGGTCCCAGGTGTGAAAAAATTCAACTCGCAATCCGCTGGTGGTAGCAGAGGGATAGGGAGCACCCACTGCAATGGAGAGGCCAAGTTGGCACAGAGAGGAACGACTGGCGTTCTTTGTCGAGTTCGGCCAAAATGACTTAGGTGGTTATAGAGCTACAAGTAGAAGAATATGCAAATGATAAATGACGGAGTTGGGGGAACGTCCAGGGGAAGAACCAGGAAAATGTTCCTTATCAGATTGATCTTGGCAACGGTTCGATAAAAAAATTACATAACCTAAGATATCGCTTCGTCTGGAATTGTTGCGACATTGTTACCAGGTGAAAGCACTGCTCATTCCGCTCTTAAGCTGCCGTTGAACATATAAATCATCGAAACTCCCACGTGGAATATTTCTAGAACATCCGGTACGGAAAAAGTATTACACAAATTTAAACTCATTGTTGGAATGACATGATGCACATAAAAAATCGCTTGAGGTTCTTGATCGATTGTGGCGAGATTTGCGTGGAAACGTTCAACCATTCGGGAATGCATTAATATTACTCGCAGGAGATTTTACGCAAACATTGTCTGTAATTTCTCGATTAACACCGGCGGGAGAGATAAAGGCCCTTATTATGAGTTGCATTCGATTTTCGATCTTCGCTGGCTATCGAAGATCGAAAGTGAAATTTGTATTATGAGCTATGCAAGCGTGTCGAAATTTTCGTTGAGTATCGAATTTTCTGTCGAACAGAATTTTGCTTTCGTTGGTGTAGCGAAGTGTTAGAAAATTGTGAAAAAATTATGATGTTGCATTTGTTTTCTTACTTTTTGGCGGCTAGACACTAATTTGGAACATTTTTTATTAATTTCATGCCGTTCTAACGTCGTGAATACTAAACGCAAGCTCGAAAGGCTGGTTTTACTTATGAAAAAAATCACACTACTCCGTTGCCACGATCTCTGAGAACGAAATCATACAGCTGTTTATAGTTTTAATATATTTTAAATAGATTTGGATCACAAAATTTCTTAAATATATTGTGTGTCAAAATATATTCGAAAGATTACACTTAAACTCCTTTAACGTTTTATGCTCCTGGCCAGTTTTCTAAGCTCTCATCCTCTGACGAATTGTTCAACCAGAACTCCGTTGTACTCATTTTTACCACGGTTTTATAAACTCGCTTTCTTTTTTATTTCGTTTTTATTTGCACAAATTTACATAAATATGTATAAGCACACTATTTAGTTTGCTCGATTTGTAAACAAAGCTTCTCGGCGGTGAAAAATATACTATTGTGAACAACCTAAACGAGCGAAATTCACAATAGTGCTATTCTTCACCGTGCCATAATACCAAATGAAAATTCGTTCGATCAGCACTTTCGGCCACAGTCGAAGATCGAATGCAACTCATAATAGGGGCCAAATGCTTGCCCGAAATAGTCAACAGTGTGGTAAGACGAACATACATAAACTGCAGCCGAGTCATCATCGCGATAATTAAGGACATTCGGATCGGAAAGCTGCCAGCCAATGAGAGATTAAGACGAATTGTATTGCCTGATAATTTTTGTGACTTAGAAACATCGAAAGGAGAACTTAAGAATGTTTCTTAATTAAAAAAGTTTATTATAGGAATCACGATTGGCTCAGTGAGCGAGATATTCTTGCTGCGAAGAATAAGGATGTCTATCAACTAAATAATAGTGGTATTGAAAACAGTCGTTGCTTGAACTGAACTGCTCATTTACCAGACTGCCAGGCCATTTGCTCACTTTGGTGAATACCACTAATGTTCAATAATAATAATATTCAATCCAGCATTAAAAGTGAAGAAATAACATATACGTCGATAAACACAGTTATGGAAACAGATGAAGCAGTTAACTATCCAACGGAATTTTTGGACTCGATTGATCTTCCAGGGATAATCCCACATACTAAAATTTAAAAGCATAGTTCACTCAAAATCGGTACGCATGAAATGGGTTATATCTTTTTGATAGGTTTTCAGAAAATAATATTTAATATGTTAAAATAAAGGAAAAACATTCCGTTATAGATACATGTTAGCGAAAGTTTCATATTTTGCTTGGATAAATAAATAAGAGACAATTTCTTTGATAATGGGCACGTTCAGAAGGCGCAACAGCTCAGTAACTGTTGCGATTGCACCTTCTGAACACGTTGTTTTGTACTTCTGATCAACTGAACAGTTGCGTGTTAGATGATCGTAATATTTTTCTGATCATTTGAGACAACGTGTTGTGTGTTTTGAATTTGACAGCTAATGTATCAAGCCGTTCAGAAGACGCATTACGATCATTGATTTTTTAACAACGGTTGCGCTCAACTTCTGCACCTTCTGAACCTACCCAATGATACAATTTTTCTGAACACCCGTTCTAGAGACTTATGTAGTCAACTTGCTCTACTAAACTATCTTTAGTTTAGGTTTTTCTACAGCTCGCACATCTCTATTAATTTTTTTAAATACTTACGATGTATTTTTCGATTTGACTTAGATAGGTCATATTCGTAAATTGATGACTTCCAGAACTTTATTCACATCATTGGCTTCAAACCGATTTAAAGTTACCTGTGAATAATTAGTTTTCATAAAAACCAACCAACACTTTACAAAAGGTCTAAAGTAAATGATACAATGAAAAAACACTTTATGAAAGCGCTCCTTCCAGCATATTTCTGGAGTCATATGACCCATTGTGGAGTCTGATAGAGTTTTAATGAGACTGCCTCGATTTTCTTGTCATTTCATAGCCTTTTGACAGCTGTGTCAACTTTTATAGATTCAGTTGTAATAGGATATCACCCTGTTTCTTTTAAGCTTAAAACTTTTAACGTGCGAGTTGACCGAAGTCCAGTTTTAAACATGTTTTATTAGTCATTATTATAAAATGCCACATTTGGCGAGAACATTGGGGTAAAGTAAACGGGTGCGGGTTTTGTTATAAAATGTATTTAATATAACAGAAGGTTTAAGTCTTGCCATAGCTTGCATTCGCTGAACTGTGGATAATCGTTTTCCAATTCTCTCGCGCGATCTTCTTCTGATAAGCCGATTTTTTTTTTATAATTGAGGTAAAGAGCCATATCCTTAAGCTGGTGCGAAATGATGTTTTTTAATGATTAGCTTACCCCGTTAGTTTCAACAGAAGGAATCAATTCATTGATTTTTGGAGGATAATTATAAGTTTTTGGTATATTAAATTTTAATTTGATTTTTGATCTCGAAAATTTCGGATTTTCAACGAATTTGTTAAACATTATTTTTTGAGCAGCAACTTCCAACGCGAATAAAACTGTCAAATAAAAGCCAGTACTATGAAATTTAAACCTCATGATGTTAGATCTATTGTCTAACGATCTGCATTGCAACCTTTTAATACATTCCAACAATTGCTGTACAGAAATCAGGTTTCGGAATATTAATCAGCCAAAGCTCTGCAACGGAACGCGACTCGCAGATAAGAAATTGATGAAGAACGTAGAGTAAGCAAAGATTTTAACGTGGCCTTTCAAAGGTGAAGAATTCCCATGATCAATTTAAAAAATTGCAGTTCCCAATTCGATTGGCATTCGGAATCACAATCAACCTTTCGGAATCAAGGTCAACCTTTGGAAAAGTGTGGTTTAGATTTAGATGCGGGTTACTTCTCAGATGTTGCGTGTTTCCGTGTCGGCAAACCAGATATCATTGAAATCTATGCAGAGAATGGAAAAACCACAAATATTATGCAAACAAGTACTTATTACAAAATCAAACTTATACGAAATGTATGCTTTGCTTCGTTAATCATTTATCATCCATATAACTGGAATATGCCACTCCAAAGCGTGGCAGGGTACAGCTAGTTTTATCATAAATGTACTTTTTGCTAAAGAGTTATTGCAAACATAATGTGTGAATAAAGTAGCTTCTGTATTTACTGATTTATCGAAGACTTCGTTTTTCTCGAAGGCCCCTATTATGAGTTGCATTCGATTTTCGATCTTCGCTGGTTATCGCAGATCGAATGTAAAATTGGTATTATGAGGTATGCAACCCTGTCGAAATTTTCGTTGAGTATCGAATTTTCAGTCGAACAGAATTTTGCTTTCGATGCTGTAGCGTAGTGTGAGAAAATTGCTGATAATGTAAGTATTTTGCGTTCATTTTTTTATTTTTTGGCGACTAAACAGTAATTTTAAACAATGTTTATTAATTTCATGCAGGTCTAAGGTCGTGAGTACCAAACAACAACTGGAAATGCTGGTTTCAATGATGGAACAAAATCGTCAATTTGCAAAAGGGATTTGCTCAAAGGTTAATGCGGCAAAAAAATGGGAGGACTTTACGCAGGAACTCAATTGTTTAGGGCCACCTATACGAACGACGGCAAAATGGATTAAGGTGAACTGCGTCGTTTTTGATTTCTGTATAAATAAATTTTAGTTCTGGTCTTTTCAGGTGTGGACTGACATGAAGTCCAAAACTGAAAAGAAAGTAGCGCAAAACAAAGCTGAATACCGAGCAACAGGTGGAGGACCGAACAGGCTACAAGCATATAAAAATGTTGGCTTGCTTGAGCTTGACGCCTNACTGACATGAACTCCAAAACTGAAAAGAAAGTAGCGCAAAACAAAGCTGAATACCGAGCAACAGGTGGAGGACCGAACAGGCTACAAGCATATAAAAATGTTGGCTTGCTTGAGCTTGACGCCTGTGTGAATCCACCGGGAGCAGAATTCGGCCTGGATATAACTGCTGATGACCAACGCCTAGATTCGGTAGAGGCGGCTCCATCAGATGAAAACCTGCAACCAATAGACAATTTAGGATTGAGCGATGAAGACCACAATTATGAAGTTCCGGAAAATACAGCACGGAAACCAAGGGCAAAAAAGTGCAACAAGACAGAGAGGCTGAAGTTGCTGGAAGCGCAGACCAATGCCCAGAAAAGGTTCTATGAGGAGATGATTACAAATATAAAGGACATTAAAAAATGTGCTTTATAAACTGAAAAGTACACGAGAAAAATGTATTCTTTAAAAAAAGACACAGCAAAAGAACTTTTACAATTGAAAAAAGAAAAATTACAAATCTTCAAAAATTAAGTTCTTCTCAAAGCCAGAAGGATCGGAGAGCAAAGCTACAACTAAAGGTTGCGCTTTTGGAGGTAAAGAAACAAATGCTGCCAAGAACATAATTTTATATTAATCTAAGTGCCTAAAATGAATTGACGTGATATTTTTTTTATATAATTAGAATTAAGAAGACTGTTTAAGTTTAAGATAAATGAATTAACGAGCTATTTTTTTCTGTATGATGAATTTAGAAAGACTGTTTAAACTTAAATGTATATTAAAATAAGGAAATGAATTTGTGATAATTTTTTATGTAATGCACCTACATACATGTGTATGATTTTTAGTTTAATAAAAGAAACTCTGGCGTAACTGGGTTTTAATATTTTTTAATCATGTTTTCTATAGTGTTCTTAAAAGTTCATTCCTAATGTCTTCTGCTTGTGAGTTGTCAACAGGTTCCACTTCAACGTCTCCGACATCATCGTCATAAGTCACATTTGAAAACTCCTCCTCGTCGGAACAAGCAAATGTTGTGCAAAGCTGCACACACATTTATAATTTGTGTTGCTTTTTTTGGAGTATAGTGAAGAGCTCTTGCCTGCAACAAACATCTAAACCTATTCTTCAAAACTCCAATTGTTCGCTCAATGATACTTCTTCCTTTGGCATGTTGTTTGTTATATGCCCTTTGTAGAGATCCTTCCTCAGAATTTCTGAACGGCGTCATTAAGTAAGGTTTCAGAGCGTATCCAGCATCACCTAAGGCGGAGAAAATTATTATAAAAAAGGAAATACATGTTGGTTTAGTTTTGATAACATACCAAGTAGCCAAGTATTTCGAAGACCATTAAGATGTTGCTGCTCTAAATGAGTTTTCAATGACGACATATTAAAAACCATAGAATCATGTGGCATTTATGTATCGTATTTTCATTGTATAATCACACACCTGAAAATTACATAAGCATACACATTTAGAATCTGAAGTTAATAACACATATGTATATATGTACACTTACAACCATAGCATTAATGCTGAAGAATCCCTTTCTGTTATAATACAAATCCTGCAGTTCCTTCCTGGGTGCGACAATTTTAATGTGTGTGCCATCAACACAGCCGATTATTCCTGGAATTCTACGTTTGTTATAAAAATGTGATTTTGCTTGTTGCAGCTGAGCCTCTGTTGAATTTTATCCATCTTTGGCAAACAAAACTTTCCAAAACATCTAGCACTTCTGGTAGCACCACAGACACCATGGGCTGTGCAAGTCCAAGCATATTTTCATTGCCAATGCTAAGTTGATACGATCCCTGAGCACAAAATCGCAGAACTGTTGCTAGCTTTAAAACATGTGGAATAGATTTCGCTCGGGTGCATTGATTCAGCAGGTCTTCTGTAGTGGTCAGCAGGTCCACAAACGCCTCTTTACATTCTCGGAAGTTTTTTATAAATCTTTAAAAAAATTTCCAAATGTTACATATGTCAAAACATTTTTGGAAGGCCACACTTACGCAGTGGAATCCATTTCTAAGGGGTTGGAACCGTTTCCTATTTCTGGCCAGCTCCACTAATCTTTCATCTTCTGACGAATCGTCAAACCACAACTCCGTCGTACTCATTTTCATAAAGTTCTTATCAACTCGTTTTCTTTTTAATTTATTTTTATTTAGACAAATTTGTAAACAAACTATTTAGTTTTACGTTTTAATCAACTCGGCTTTTCTTTTATTTTAATTTGCTCAATTTGTAAACAAACCGTCTCAGCTGACAGAAATATACTATTGTGAACAACCTAAACGAGCGAAATTCACAATAGCGCTATTCTTCATCGAATGAGCGCCATAATACCAAATGAAAATTCGTTCGATCAGCACTTTCGACCACAGTCGAAGATCGAATGCAACTCATAATAGGGGCCTAAATTACCGTTAAATGGGATGTGGGCGTGGTTATTGCCCGATTTTAAAAATTTTCAGCCGCTTGGTATATTGTACCAAGGTTAACAACTGTGCCAAGCTCCGGAGAGATTAGTTTAGCGATTACCAAGATATACACAATCATAAGTGGGCGTGGCTACGCCCATTTTCCAAAAAATTATAATACTCTTACTTTTCGTCTAGAAATAATTGTAAACATCAATTTTGAGTGAATAAGCTTCAGTAGTTACTAAAATATTGCAGTTTTCGTATTTCTGAAAACTACCGTTATATGGGAGGTAGGCGTGGTTATTGTCTGATTTTGCCCATTTTCAGTTCAAACCTACCTTGGCTAAAGGGCAATCCACATACCAAATTTCGTTGAGACATCTCAATTTTTGCTCGAGTTATCGTGTACACGGACGGACGGACGGACAGACAGACATGGCTCAATCGACTTCTCTTTTCATTCTGATCATTAACCCTCTAGTAGGCCAATTTTTTTATGAGTCGAAAATTTCAGGAATGGGTGATTTTAGCACGAGAAATCCAAAACTGATGTCCATTTCGATCTGTGACAGTAACTTTTTCCTACAGGGGAGAAAAACCAAGACCGTCTGGAGACGGGCTCGCCGATATACTTACACATATTTTCAGCTTTCTCTTACACAATGTTGACCTACGAACCGGCAATGCCGTCTGCAGACGGTCAAAAATGCAAAACTGGGGTTTTATATGTCGACAAGCCGGTCTGTAGACGGTCTGTGTTCGAAAGCAATTTTCTCCATTTAGAATGGTGACGTAATTATAAAACTTATATTAAAATACGATGCTTTTAACAACGAAATCCACCGAATTTTTTTATATCAAAAAATTTTTCAAAAGAAAAAATTTCTTTAATTACGAAATTACTAAGGGTGTGTGTGAATCGGTAACAAAGTTCTATGGGGAAAGCTGTTGAATAATATTTTTACTATGGTGAGACAGTTTTGCGAATCTGCTGTGTGAAATGAAATCTTTTTTGACAGCAGTAAATTTTTGATAACCGCAGATTTATTCGGAATAAACTATTACAAATTGAAGTGAAATTAATATTTTAAGAAAACATCTACCATCACTGATTGCATTTCATCAATTTAAGCTTTTGTTTTACGAAAAATTACACACAGAAACAATCTTTGCGATTGTCAAAATTTTATATGCATTTGTCAAAAATTTCACTAGCCTCATGAGCTACTGAAATTTTATTCACCTCATAGTTGTCAAAAATTTACTTGCCGAAAACTTTGTTACCGATTGACACACGCCCTAAATAGCAAGAAATAATTAATTTTAACCGTGTTTTCAAAGTCTGAAATTCAACTGCCGATTAAAATAAAATGGATTGACATAACGGATTAAAATTTACTTCGCCGTAAGGGTACGATTTTTGTCTAAAGATCGTGCCTTACGAATATAGAAAAAAATTATCATAGGTGCACTAAAAAGGTGTTTAGTTAACGACCGTCTGGAGGCGGTTCTGCCTACTAGAGGGTTAATGTATACATTTGTCTATATCTGTCTCGATTCGTTTTGGCTGTTACAAACTCGGAAAAGGCAGTGTTGATGTCAGCAGCATACGCCAGCAATTGCATGCCCTTGTAATCAGATATCGAAAACTAGTAATTTTTAGCAAAAAAAAAACCGACTTCAACTCCCATATAAAAAAAAAATATATATATATATATCTCATGATCCGCTGATCGGATCTTAACCAGATTAGTATGGGACCACCTCTGAGCACTACCTTTCCGATGCAAAAAGAATTATCGAAATCGGTTGACGTGGTCCAAAGTTATGCGGTAACATACATAAAAAAAAAAAAAAAAAAAAAAATATTCCGACGAACTGATAACCTTCTCCTTTTTTGGAAGTCGGTTAATAACCAGTGTTTACTACTGAACACTCATCTCTCAAGCAAAGAATGTTTCTCACCGTGGCACCGTGCGATCTTTATGTGTTTTCCGTTGTGGGTTATTTATCAACTGCTAAAATTTCCCTTAGGCAAAGACACTTTGGCAGGGACTTTTTTTTTTAAGTGTCTCAATTTGTGGGTTATTGTAAGACTGAAAAATATAAGTGGGCGTACATAAGTGGAAGCGAAGCGTTAGGCATTTCTTTACACGGCATATACGTACACATACATGTGCGAAGAGAGCGTGCACATTCATAATATGATACACCGAAAATAAGTTATTTTATTTTATTGATAATAAAAGGATATAGGCAAAGGTAAAAATAAAAACAAAGATGATTCAGACATCGCATCGAAAGCGGCTTTGACGTCGACAAATGGGTGGTGAGTGTCGATCATTTTCTCGCGGGTCTTTTCCAAGACTTAGCGTATTGTGAATACCTGGTCCATGGAGGATTTGCGAGGTCTGAAGCCACACTGATAAGGCCCAATCAGTTCGTTGACGGTGGGCTTCAAACTTTCACACAATACGCTCGATAAGACCTTGTAACTTATGCTTAGAAGGCTGATCCCGCGGTGGATAGCGCGAATGGCGGGGTCGCCTTTCTTGTGGATTGGGCAGAGCACACTTAAATTCCTGTCGTCGG